AATTATAAAAGCGAGGGATTAAATGAGGGACCAGCTGTCTGAAGTGAGGCGTGCATGCATGTGTGAGTGTGCTTTTTCATATTGATTTTCGCAGATGGGGGACGGCATCAAAGTGAATGGGGGAAATCACATCGGAGACCACGGCGGGCTCTGAAGTTCTTCCCTTAAAGCTGAACTAACACGGCTTTATTAGCGGAGTCGTGCGGGGCGAGTCGAGGCATGGGGTGAGTGTGACAGGTTAGTTTTTCGCTAGTTTATGACTTTATATGGCGGGAGGGAACAGGCGGGTAATTTCTAGTAGTTTTATCAGTCAGGTGGCATTGCGTTACAAAAAAATAAAAAGGATACTGGAAGTCATTTGGGAGCAGTAGTGAGTGCTTGTAATGCACAGGAAAAAGGTTCTGGGTTCGATTCCACCTCCAGGATTTTCTGTGTGGAGTTTGCATGTTCTCTCTGTGTCTGTATTGGTTTCCTCCGGGGGCTCTCGTTTCACCTACAGCTGAAAACATGTACACGGTTTCTCGCTGGAATTTGCAGATAAAACAATGTAAAGCAATTTGCGTTACATTGGTTTGTGAATATATGTGTGCTATATGAATAAACGAGACTTGCTTTACTACTTATACGTAAAGAGTGACTTGTCCTCTCTTTCAGACTTTGTGCATTTCGGACATCCCATCCAGTGGGGGCGGGTCCCGGCTCAAAAGTGGCCAAAATGATGTGCGCTGACATGCTTGCAATACCACCCCGGGCCGATGGGGGTGGACCCAGAAGAAGAATTAGCCAATGCTAACATATAGCATTGGCAGACCTCTCAAAAACGTCTTTACAGGATGGACCAAAAGTTGGCTCTTGGCCCAAAGCTCCGTTCCACATGTGTGTCAATGCTGAGGGGGGTGAATTTTTTTTGGTCCACTCTAGTTTACTTGCTGTGAATTTTTGAAGTCTCTCGTTCAAATGAATGGAGCTGCGCCGGCTGACGCATGTGCAGATGCGGGACCACTCGCGGCCATTTTGGATTGCTCCAGTAGAGAATTTTGTTTGGCCCATTAGTTAGAACGGCGGAGATAGGCGTGACTCTGTCCGTTAATATATATAGTCTATGATCCCAACGTTCCAAAGAGCCTATAGTTTAACATTGTGGATGAGGGCTGCTGAAAAATAATTTATGGTCACTAAAAAGTTTAAAAGCTAATTTAGCTCTGTCAGTACAACTCAACTGTGGTCTAATTTTCCCATAAAAGCTGTGAAAAAGTTGTGACAAAAGACAATACTGTGTGACCCCTGGGGCCTCTTTGATCTACACCTGCTGACTGGTGTCCTCCAGCCCGGACAAGGACGAAATACTGGTCTATGTATTTGTTATTATTGTATTTCCTCTGTTGTTGAATTGACAACTTTGTAAAGTCCTCCGAGACGACTGCTGTTGGAAATTTGGAGCAATAAATATATTGAATTGACTTGAAAAAGCATGATTTTGACCAGTAGAATTCATAATAATAATAATATAACAGCTTGTGTATCAAACCACTATCAAATTATGATCTGGAAAAACATTTGGACATTTTCTCTTTCAACGTTCCTTTCAAAAACTGCTTCTCTGAGTGTGAATTTTTTCAGCCCACCAGATTATGCGTACGTTCCTGCTAACGATCGGCGGTGTTTACATGGATCACACCATTAGCATGCGCCGCTTACAACCAGCATCTGTGTGAATGACGTGGGAGCTAATGGACCCGTCTGTGCCAAAACAACAATGATCTGAAAAGGTGCGCTGGCTGCATCCCTCTGCGGCGACGGCGAGGTTTCCCAGAACACGGACCGACACGGCGTAGTCCGCACACATGGCAACACGACTAGACTAATGGAAATACAAACAGGTAGAGTCAAGTCGAGTGGAGTAGAGTAGAGTAGGGCCAAGTAGGACTGGCGGGGAGACGGGGCTATAGTGGCTATTTAATCACCATTGTTTACCACGGTTACATTTAAGAAGACTTACTGTGATTGTGTCCGTATGAATACAGATAAATGTGGTTCATTATGGTGAATTTAATAAAAAAACGTTGATCTAAAAGAAAGTTTGCATGGTGCAACTGTAATGGTAATGTCATGGTCTTTGGAATCAACATAGACTTATCGAACCCCATTTTAAAGCCCAGATGTGCCTGGATCCAGACAAAATCAACGTTGTCGTTCCCTGGACAAGTCTGGTGAACTAAAGTGGCTCTCTAACTAAAATGTAGAACACCCCTGCTTTAGAGGTTGTGGGCAGTACATTGATATGTTTTGCATTTATTTACAATTGCTAAATGTTGTAGCTCCCTCACTTCGGTTACACATATCACCCACATTTCTTCCACTGTACAAGCCAAACACGATTTAATTAAAGCCGTGATTTTCTTCGTACCAACAGGCAAATTCCATAAGCATCTTAATAATTAGATAATAATCACATTTCTGCATTTGTACAATTAGCCTGATTAGACGGCGTTAGTGAGGCGTTCTTGGGGAAAAACTGGAACGCACTAATTCCACCATCTTTCACTGATGAGTTGTTTTAGCTGTGATTCTCTCCTTTTCTCGTATTTGAGTTGTCAGATTTGGTCTTTCCATCTGCTTTCTTGTTCGGGTAATCACATATCTTATTATGGTATTTGGTTTACAGAGAATAATAACGACAGAGCGTGTGAGCTGAAAGTTGGCGGTTCAAACCCTGCTCCTGACATGGACATCATTGGTTGGCTCTCAGATTGACTAACCCAGAAACCAGCACCCATTGGCGATTGCAACACTGAGTTCTTCGGCAAGACACTTAACCCGCCTTGTGTGTGGATTAGTTCCTTGATGTGAAGCGCTTTAAGTGCCTTGAAAAGGTAGAAAAGTGACAAAAAGAAGAAAAGTACCTATAACTCTTTTTCCAGCAATCTAAAAAAATCCATGTAGTATTTATTAACCAGCATAGGTCCTTTAGGTCTGAAACAATCTCATTATTGGTGTCTAATCCTGCAATCCTGTTAGTTTAGGAAGGTTCATTTTGTCTTCTTGGTAGATTAGTAGTTATTTGGTACCAGACAAATGGAGCAATGTTAATACCTTGACACATGGAGCGATTCTATCTTACAATTTTCTTGTATAAAAAACCAAGTAACTCAATTCAAATCCAGCTGTACTTAAAGCCCTGCCTTGTGCACACTACAGTTCTCCTGCTACAGCTCAGAAACAAAACTTTATCAGAGCCGGGAAATAAAGAAGGCTGATGGATCTGCGTCGTCATAAACATCCATTCTCCACAGACGGGAGGCGCCACTCGGAAAAAAGGGAACTAATTTTGCTTAAACAGCATCGTGCCTGAGTTTTCATCACAGGCCTCTAAGTGATGAGTAAAGAGGAAGTATCCCAAAGGTAACAAGCAATACTTTGAATGACGCACCTACTTTGGCTTATCATTAACTTTTATAGAAGATATTGTTATTAAATCCGGGATTATATGGTCAGAATTTCCATGGTATGATCGCCATAAAAAAGCTATATTTTCCTATAGAGCGGTCCCTTGTTTATCGCGGGGGTTATGTACTGAAAATAACCTGCAATAAGCGAAATCCTTGAAGAAGTAGCTATATGTTTAAAGGCTGTAAAACCCCTCACACACACTTTATACATTTTTCTAACCACCTGAACTCATGCTGACGTGCAATTGGAAGATATCAAACTTGTTCATTGTAGGTCAAAGCGCTGCTGCAGCCGTCAAAAGTTGTGCGTACATATTGAAATACAGTTGTAGAGGACAGATGGGCAGGAGCAGGACAGAGGGATACAGGAAGAGCAGAGGGAGACCAGAGAGAGAGACCAAAGAGAGAGAAACTAGAGAGACAGAAACCAAAATAGAGACCATAGAGAGAGAGAAATATGAGAGGGAACCAGAAAGAAAGACCAGAGAGAGAGATCAGAGTGGAAGACCAGAAAGAGAGACCAGAGGGAGACAAGAGATAGACCAGAGAGAGGGAACCGGAATGAGGGAAGCAGAGAGCAGAGACAAGAGAGAGAGACCAGGGGGGGAACCAGAGAGACACCAGAGAGGGTGCTCTGAACTAATCACGGTGTTGCACACAAGCGATAAATGTCCTCCTCTGGTTTATACAAAGGTAACTGTCACGTTGTATTAGTGGATATATGATGTGTATAAAAAAGTCCTCTTCTCCAGTTCCAGTACATTTAAAGCATTATAAAGTCAACTCTGGGTAAAAAAGACCTCCTGAGTCTGTCAGAGGAGCAGGTGAGTGAGAGCAGCTTCTCTGCCTAATCACCAGCTCAGGAGGAAGCAATGGTGAGAAATGTCTCTAACATGCATGTTAAGTGGATGCATGAGAAGTTCACAGCTCTCTGAAAAATCTATTTAAAGCTTACTTTAAACTTTCAAACCACAAAATAACGGAACTAGAGTATGTAGTCAAATCTATTTAGTCCTAACTGCCTTTCAAAACAGCTCTACTACAGCTCTACTAACAACTCACTTGTTTTCACCTGCATATACTTTAGATCAGCTTTTTAAGACAAAAAAAGTCAAATAGTGACTCACAAGTATACAAAATCTGTTCTCGAAAATGAAGAGAACAGAAGTGTCTCGGACCTTGCTCTCGGACCTCGCTCTCGGAACTCGCTCTCGGACCTCGCTCTCGGAACTCGCTCTCGGACCTCGCTCTCGGACCTCGCTCTCGGACCTCGCTCTCGGACCTCGCTCTCGGACCTCGCTCTCGGACCTCGCTCTCGGACCTCGCTCTCGGACCTCGCTCTCGGACCTCGCTCTCGGACCTCGCTCTCGGACCTCGCTCTCGGACCTCGCTCTCGGACCTCGCACTCGGACCTCGCACTCGGACCTCGCACTCGGACCTCGCACTCGGACCTCGCTCTCGGACCTCGCTCTCGGACCTCGCTCTCGGACCTCGCACTCGGACCTCGCACTCGGACTTGCGACCAGCAGACGACCCAAGCACATTTCTTACCTCAGTGATTCCGCCATGCGTCGCAAGTCTTCATTCTGCTGCTTCAGGCGTTCCAGCTTGGCCAGGATCTTGGAGAGCTCTCGACTGGACCTCTCCGGGTGCTCGCTGTCCCTCACCAAGTGCCCCCCGATGTAGAAGAGCAAGGTCCCCCAGGCCAGGAGCACCAGGGTAATCCACCGCCACGACCCCGCCCACGGCCGCATGATTCCAACCTCAAATAACTCCTGGATGTCCGTAAGTCACAAGCCCCCAGAGCGACGCAGCGTGGCGGGCATGGGCATCTCGAGCGCGCGGGGACGATTGCGATGCTGGGGTGGTGCTGGTGGGAGCTCAGGACTCTGGGCTGTGGTCATCCGGGCTTCGGGAGGGGGCTAAAGCAGACCAGACATGCTGCTCGGCGCTGGAGAGGTGGAGGTGGGTAGGTGTGCCGTTGAAGAAACCCACCACGCAGGCTATTTTTGGGGCTGGAACTGGGATGTGCTGGGTGGAGAGGAGGAATTCTGTGGAAGAAAACAGATGTGTGTAAGGGCAAGGTGGAAATAGAATATTTGCTCTGTACCAGGGCTTCTCAATAATGTGGGAACAGCACCACACACACACACACACAGGAAACAGACACAGTATGCACTTCCCCATTGAGGCTGTGCGCTCGCGTCACAGAAACACTACAACATACTGTACAATTACAATTTGAGATCCACACTGTCTTCAGACCCTTCTGCATTTGCAAGGAACCAGTCAAATCCAGAAAGGGAAAAGGGAGAAACATCGAGGAAACCCATAATAAAGGGATTCGCTCCCACAGACGGACAGCTGTAGATCCAGGACTTGGCTCAATGAGTTCTATATTCTTTCTGATGGTAAAGCTGCACATTCTTCTCAGGAAATAGTCCCTGTAAATTCCAGGGTCACTTTGCATGAAGTACATGAGTTTGAAATCTCTCCAGAACAGCTCAATGTTCTAATTTGAAAGTTAACAAACATATATGGAAGAGAACAATGCAATCAATCTTTGGTTGTATACACAGGAGAAACTTGCAAAAACTATAATATTGTTCAAAGGTTCACTTGTTTTTGTTATTCCACATGTAGTATATGAGTGTGTGCAATGGCATCAAATATACAATAAGGATTTCCCCATACAGCAGAATCCTGTGTCTTCTTTATAGTGTCAAAGCAGAGAGAAGAGCCCCAATCACCGCGCTGCAGAGACCTCTCCCGGCACAACCACAGCCGGCAGCGGTGCTTGACAGCCTGAGTGACGGAGCCGACTGGTCCTCTGCAGTCCTGTACTCAGCAGTAGCAGCAGCAGCATTGAGTCACATGACACAGCAGCTTTCATTTACACGCTAAAAGTCCCGGTCCCCCAACGCCTCACTGCTTCGTTCAAATGTTATCACACAAGACTCACAGCAACAGTGGCCATGCATCACTTAAGTGGAAAAGCAAGCAAGAGCGAGAATATGCAGAGAATATGAACAGGCCTCTACCCTGACCATGTTCAAAACTCAATCAACAAAGTATCTGCTTAGCTGTGCATACAACGGATTTTATATTTTACTAATCATCTGACAATATTCAAAAATCACAAGAATAATGTTGGCCACTAGAAAGCAGTAGTAGTATTAGTAGCTTTAACCCCATATCCTTTGTCTTTTTGATCTGTGTTTTTAATTGCTCTTGTGAAGCACTTTGAATTGCCTTGTACACAAATTGTGCTATACAAATAAATGTTCAGATGTATGAAGACAACAGTTAGTTCCAGCCACATTCACACTGTTGGCAAATTGAATAGGTCGAATTGAATTGCAAATGAATGCTTAATTTAAAGTGCATGTCCATGATTGGTCGAAATGAATTAAAATCCTTGAGGGCCCTCGTCTATGGTTGAACTGTTCTCCTCCGGCAAATCTTACTGGTTGTAGTTCTGCCAAGAAGAGAGACCGTTTTGAATATTTTATTGTTGATGTACTGTATAATAGTACGAGGGTACTTATTATTCAACACACACAAAAAAAGGTCTTAAAATAGTTTGCTTCTGACGATAGTTTTCACATGCATTATTTCAGATCTGGTCCTGGTCCTGGTCTAATCTGGGTCTGTATCTGTTCTCGGCCTCTGTCTTGGTCCCGGTCCTCTTCCTGGTTCTGGTCTGATCTCGGTCTTGGTCTAGGTCACAGTCTTGGTCCTGGTCTGCGTCTGCTTTTCACATACAAATAATTTTGGCTCTGTCACTTCTTTAGATAAGCTATTCCAGGCAGAAAAGTGAAAAATAGGGAACCACCCTCCCTCAGCCAATCAGCACTCAGTCTATAGCACCAAGTAGTGACTCACAGGACTCTAACAAGAATGCAAAATATAACGTGTATAGTGTGTATAGTGTATATGAAAAAGATGAAGATGCACACAACATTTTACCTTAACGAGACTTTCTTTTAGGAAAAAGTTAAACAAAATGTCTTCTACGTTTTTTAAAAATTGCTTCAAATCCCCTTACTGCAAACAACCTGATCCTTTCCAAATCTCCGTTTAAATTCAACAAAAATAATCCTCCACAAACTTTGGAGAAAATCCGCGACCCGGGTGCACACCCGCGACGTTGTCAAGGTGATGGGCCGAGCTCAAAGCGCAGATGCTAAAACTCGGCGGATCATCACTTCCCTTCATCCGGGGCGCAGCGGGAGACAACCTTCACTGTCAGCCTGCGCAAAGACCGCCGACACCAGCGCATTGTGACGAGATGGAGAGTGGCGTGTGAGAGCGCCAGGAAGCCATTTCTGAAGGGACGCGAGTGGGAGAAGTGGGTTAGAGCCGCGGCAGTCAAGCAAATCACAACAGTAGTTATCTCAGAGGACTCAAAACAGGAAATGCAATGATAAAAAACACAACGAGCCATTGGTCCATAAGCGGCAGAGACCAAAGTCCAGAAATGTAATTGAATGTCCTGGATCACCCCTGCATCAATTCAAAAGGAAACAACTCAAAAGATAACCAAGAAAAAATAACAACATACTTTTTGGCACGTTGGGCTGAGAAGTAGTTGGTTTAGTACCATTGATTTTTATGTCTTAAAAAGCTAAGAGATGTGACAGAGGCCAATAACGCATACATACTAAGTAAGTAAGTAAGTAATGTTTATTTATATAGCACATTTTACAGACCAAGGCCCCCCAAAGCGCTTTACAAAGTTCCAATCATTCCACACACTGTGATGACAGAAGCGAGTCGCCGAACACACTGGACCATCAGCCCCCAATCAACACCATCCATTCACTCTCTCATTTACATTCATAGCTATTGTGCATGTTTTTAGTGGTAGGGGAAACCGGAGCACCCAGAGGAAACCTACTCAGAAAAAGCTAGTGATAGATCCAATCTGTTTTGAGAGCCACAAACTAGTTGGATGGATATCATTACATAGTTAAATCCATTTGTAGTTTGAAAGTCATATACCCCAGCTTTAAGCACACACATTTTGAAGTCCTAAATATGAATAGACAAACCAAACTGTATTCTATCCACACTCCATCTGCATACTTGGAACCGCCAACTTAACATAAGCGCAAATCCATTTGACGGTTGGATACGCACCGTCACCGTTCCGTGCCTGGTTACAAAAACATTGCCATATCCAATTACACCTGCCCACTGTTCAAACCACCACTAAAATGGACCTTTTCTCCCTCGTTTTCCCGACCCGCGACCCTTATTGCGTCTAAAGCAGCCCGCATTCCTCTTATACATGCAGAGAGCGCGGCGGCGTTGAGCTCAGGCCTTTAATATGGAAAATATGAGCCGCTCCCGAGAAGGTATCATTCCGCCAGGCTAACGGGCTAATGCCGGGGACTGTACTCCAAAAAACGACGGTAATGAGGTTTGTGTTCACTAGACTAAAACTGATACATTTCAAAAACGGTTCGAGGACAAGGCGGGCTTCGCTGGCTGTCGAATAGAATATGAGAGAGGTTTCCCCCCCAGATAACGAACCCAGCTGCTGTGCTTAATATCTAAACTGTGAATATTAGAAAGGGGTCAAAGAGGCTCTACTCTACTCTACTCTACTCTACTCTACTCTACTCTACTCTACTCTACTCTACTCTACTCTACTCTACTCTACTCTACTCTACTCTACTCTACTCTACTCTACTCTACTCTACTCTACTCTACTCTACTCTACTCTACTCTACTCTACTCTACTCTACTCTACTCTACTCTACTCTACTCTTGGCCCTGCTTCTATCCAGGCTGAGCTGGTAGTGTTGTTGGTAGGTTGTTATGGTACCAGATACTAAAGGGTAAGGCGAGGCAAGTTTATTTGCATAGCAAAATTCATACACGAGGCAACTCAAAGTGCTGAAAGTGGGTAATGGAAACACAACCAGGTAGAGTAGAGTAGAGCTGCTTAATTAGAGAGTTGGTTTTATTGCAGACAGGAAATTAGTGGTTTCCGCTGAAACACTCAAGGTTCTGAGAATAGATCAAGCCTGTGACCTCCTGTGGACTCACCACCTGCAGGAGGATCAGTGAGGGCATGGGGCTGTGAATTGGATGCAGCTCTGACTGACTGACTGCAAAACAGGAAGGACCTGCTGTCAGACTGTACAACGAGAATGTATAACAAGAACTGCTGAGTCTGTATGAGTGTCATTGATAATAATTCACTAGTAACTTTATCACTAGTCACTTTACCAGTTACTATTATTACTTCATTCTTACATATCCATCTGATACTTCTGTCATTCATTCACTAGTCACTTTATCAGTCGATATTATTACTGATGTTTATTCTGCATGATGTAAAACTCCTCCAGTCCTGTCCATCTTATCCACGTGATTTAAGAAAATAAGGCCAAACAGAGACCAGACTGAAACACCCAGCAGCCTTTGAACCATGGGCAGAGCACGCCTCACAGCGCGGCGGTAACAGCGTTTAAATCCAGCCAACTTTCTCTTTTTGAACATTGCGATTGGCCGTGACTCCACAGAAGTATATGGAACACTTTGAATCCTCTGCTCTCATGTTCTTTACGCCATTTTCTTCCCAGAGTGGACTATATACACCAGTGCACCTTTCAAATTTAAAATATATTTCATCTATTTTCTCCATGTTACAGTCCTATACTGTATATAGTATGGACAATGATTACCCGCTAGCTCAATGAAGCCCAATAGGGAAAGTTTTGCTTCAACTCGCTCTGGCTCG